CCTTGGAAATCCTATACAGGGTCACTATGAATTAGAACTGACTCAACAGCACTTAACACAGTAACATCATTGATCTGGGAGCCTGGTTTCTCTCTAGACCAGCTGCACAGCTGTCTTCCTAAGACTTCTTGGCATTCTTTTTTCTGTTTCTGCATTGTTGTTGTTGTTGTTAAGTGCCATTGTGTTGGTACCGACTCATAGTGACCCTATCCACAGCAGAATGAAACACTGCCCGATCCAAAGCCAACTTCACTACTGTTGCCATGCTTAAGTCCATTGATGCTGCCACTTGGCTAATCCATCTCCTTGGGGGTCTTCCTCTTTTTTTCTGACCCTCCACCTTACCAAACATGATATACCTCTCCAGTGACTGGTCCCTCCTGACAATATGTCCGAAGTATGAGAGACGAAGTTTGGCCATCCTGGTCACCAAGGAGCACTCTGGCTGCACTTCTTCCAAAACGGATCTATTGGTTCTTTTGGCAGCCCATGGCACTTTCAATATTCTCCTCCAACACTATTACTCAAAAGCATCAATTCTTCTATGGTCTTCCTTATTCACTGTCCAGCTTTTGCCTGCATATGAGGTTATTGAAAATACCATGGCTTGGGTCAGGCGCACCTTAGTTAAGCTGACATCTTTGCTCTTCAACACTTTAAAAAGTTCTTGTGCAGCTGATTTGCCTAAAGCAATATGTCGTCTGATTTCTTGACTGCTGCTTCCATGAATGTTGTTGGTTAATCTATCAACACTCACATTAGAAGGATTCACATTAGAAGTTTCAAAAAGCAAATAGCAGAATTTTACCCTTGTAGGTATATTGATACATATAAGAGCCTTAGGGTGATATAAGATAAGCATTGTACTACTAACTACAAGATCATCAACCATCAGCAGATTGGAGGGAGAAAGATGAGGCTTTCTACTAACAAGAGATTTATAGCCTCAGAAGCCATGTACTGTGTTACTGAGTTGGAATCCATTCGATGACAGTGAGGTTTTGTTTTTGTTTTTTTAAAGATGGGTTTATGAAAAATGCTATTGTTATTTTAACTGACTACAGGAATATTTTTATTAAATAATAAATTTCTGCTGAACACGGCACAAAAAATTTATAGACAGTCATTTTGGTGTTACCCCTCTGATTGTATCACCAGAACATCATACAGCCCCCACATTCCCCTAGTGACACCACTAGGTCCTAAGTCACTTATCTGAGCAAATGTTCTCGTCATTTATTTTTTTTTTATAATTTCCTCTCCTCTTCAGTTTTCCTGTGTTCTTAAATGTCCTCTTTGATAGATCCTCTGCTAGCATTCCACGTTACCTTCAAACTTTCCCATGAATTAACATTTTTTACCATCATATTTCTAATTTATAACTTTTTAATTGTACTTTTTTGTTGTTGAGATAGTTGTAGGTTTGTGTGAAGTTGTAAGAAAGAATGCAGAGAGATCCTATATAGCCTTTCCCCAGTTTCCTCCAATGGTAACATCTAACACTGTGCATAACTGCAGTGCAACTCTGCAAGTAGGAAATCGACATTGATACAACCCACCAGCCTAATCAGATTTCACCAGTTTTACATGTACTTGCTTATTTGTGTGTATTTAGATCTTTGCAATCTTATCGCATATAGAATCATGACCAACACCATGTCCAGATACAGAGCAGCTTCATCATCACAACAACTTCCTGCCACCCTTTTATAATAACCACAGCCATCCCCACTCCTCTACCTTTTCAAAGCCTTGGCAAGAACTATAATCTATAATCTATATGTGTGTGTATATATATATCATAATCTGATCTCCACCTTGATAAATTTGCCATTTCAAGAGTAAATAGAATCATATAGTATGCAACTTTATTTTGGTTTAAAAATGTCTTTTTTTATTTTTAACAATTTATTATGGCTTGAGTTACAAGAATTTTTACGAGTCTCTGTTCCTTTTAAAAAATAACATAATTCTCTCATAATGGATGAAATATCTTTCCTATATTTCTGATGAAAATTAAATAATTGGAATTGAGTTTACAGTTCAAACTCACCTGCTGCTCCTTGGAAACCCTATACAGGGTTGCTATGAGTCAGCACTGATTTAAGGCACTTCACAACGGTAGCAACATAACAGGAATGCCACAAATGGGTGGTTTCAACAAACAAATTTATTTTCTCACAGTTTAGGAGGCTTAAAGTCCAAATTCAGGACTCTGACCCTTGGAAAGACTTTCTTGGTGTCAGCTAATCCTAATCTCTATTCAGTTTTTGTCCCTCCTTCCCTTGGTAATCTTCATAGGGGATGTGGAGTGGTGGTGGAGTGGGCATCTGTCTTACACATCTGTGCTTCCTTGCTTCTGTACCTAATTGCCTCTGTAGGTCCTCATTTACACAACAAAGAAAATCCTATCCCTATTCCCAGAGTCCTGGTGTGATGTAGGATAAACACTGGACTGAAAGGTCTTTTGAATTGGGAGGTCAGTGGTTCAAACTCACCAGAAACTCACCTCAGAAACTGTACAGAATCACTGTGAGTCTGAACCGACTCAATGGCAATTAACAACAACATTCCCAAATGGGCTTATATCAACAGGTATTAAAGGTAGGATTTACAACATATTTTGGGGGCGGGAGGGGGTGAGCGGGGTCCCAACACAATTCAGTCCTTAACAGAGGCTTTCCTCAAATATCTGTCAGTTTCAAGCTATCTATTTATTTGTAGTTAAGAATGAGGTATTAAGAAGCAGCTTTGAAGCTCTGTGTGTTCCTTGGCCCCTTCCCAGCTGTTTTTCAGTTATATGTTCACATAGAAGGGCCATTTCATTGAGCGACTCCCATATGTTAACTCTTGCTCTTTTCTCAGGGTGTTAACATAGTTTCCCCAGAAAGAATGATCTAATCTCCTGTGCAGAATTTTCTATCAGTGTTTTAGGGACTTAAGGACTAAAGGCTTTATCATTTAGTGTGTGGATTTCCACTTAATTCCTCTGAAAACAGTGTTTAGATTCCCTGTTTCTCCAGTCTCCCATTTCCTGTCAGAGTCAGGAAGGATAGTTTCCTGGCTATGTTGGGTGTCCTGGAGACCTAGAGGTGTATTTGAATTTTATAGTTGTTGTTAGTTACCTTTGAATCTTCCCTCTCCATGCCTTCATTGATGTTGGTGTTAAGTGTTGTCAAGTCAATTCTGACTTCTAGCAACCCTGTAGAGGGTTTCCAAGGAGTGACTGGTGAGCTTGAACCACCAACCTTGCAGTTCAAACCGACTTGCTGCAGTCTAGCGCATTAACCCACAGCGCCACAGAATTTTAAATGACATTTTGGCCAACACTGAGGCACCAGTGCTGAGTACAAAGAGAAGTTCCTCCACATTCCAAGCTGGAATATTTGATGCATTCTAAAGGACACAGAACTAATTCTGTAACCTTTAACCCATCACCTTTCTCCAGACTGCATTTAGGAAAAGGCTAGAGATTGAGCAGGCAGGAAGAAGAGGATTGTTGTTTTTTAAAATGTTGGTCAAGCAAGAAATGCTCAACATTTCTCCTTTCTTACTTTGGAAGGTGCTGTAGGATAAGCTGGTGTGATGCTGTAAGATAAGCACTGGACTTATCCACTAGCTGCTTCTAGGAAACCCTATCCAGGGTCACTAAACTATGAGTTGGAACTGACTCGACTGAACCTAACAACAAAAACGTTGGAGGAGTCTTCAAATGGTTAATGTGGGTGGTGCAAATGGTTAATGTGGTCAGCTCTAACCAAATAGTTGGAGGTTCTAGTCCACCTAAAGGTACCTAGGAAGAAATGCCTGGTGATCTACCTCTGACAAATCAACCATGGAACACCCTACAGTTCTACTCTGATGCAGGTGGAGTTGCCATAACTCTAAATCAGCTTAAGGGCAACTTGTAGACCCTGGGGAAGGAAGGGGTTGCTTCTTCCCCAAATTAACACTCCATAAAAACTAAGTTGGGATTTGTAGGGCTCTTTGCTAAAGATTCAGGAGTGCTTTCCAAAGTTAGTATCAGTCAATAAATGGTTGTATAAATTTTCCTTAAAATTCCTGTTTTCAGCCCATCTCGACCTCATCTTTTAAAGTCCCTGGTGCTTTTATTCTAAGTCTTTCTAGAAGAATTGACTTTTCTTTGATACCTCTTCCTTGAGCAATAATGGTATCAGTTCCTTCTAGTCTACTAAGTTAGTTATTTCTCCTCTATCAACTTTCTGCCTTTCTAAATGTAGACTCTGGGTGTGACATTTTAGGATCAGCAACAGACTGTGAACCACAAAGGCAGTGGTTCAAACCCACCAGCTGCTCCTTGTAATGAGTCAGAACCCACCCTATGGCACTTAACAACAATAAATGTGCTAGCCTCACTTATTGCTATTGTGTGGTGGTGGTGGTGAGCAGTGGAGTCGGTTCTGACTCATAGGAACCCTGCATATGGTTTCCGAGGGTGTAAATCTTTACAGAGGTAGAAAGCCTCATCTTTCTGCTGTTGTGTGGTCCCCTATAAATTCAATTAAAAAAAAAAGCTATATTGAGTCTCTGGTGCGAGGGAACGGGGTGGGGAATTAAGACTGGCGCATGTGTTCAGTTCACTACTTTTTATTGGTGTCCAAGCAGTTATTTTAAAGATAAATAATAACATATTCAATTTTTCACAGTGTTAGTATTTAGTTTGTCTATACAGATCACCTTCAATTCTCCGCTTTTTCTCATATTTTTGGATTTTGAGACATTTCAATATCATGAAAGAGTTGAAATTTAACTTAAATGGGCTTTGTTTCATTAAAGATTTTAATAAGGGGAAAGAGCCTACAACTTAGAATTAAAGTGGGCCTTGGAGAATATATATGATCTTTGATTAATCTTGTAATCCTTGTGTCGAGTTTCACAGAAATTTTATACTTTCTCCAAAACATTTTACTTAGAAAATTTAACCCTATTGTAGAAATGAAAGAATATGCTTAAAAAGTCTGTATAAAGATTGCCGGCAGGCGCCACGGCAGTCTATGAGCAGGTCCAGAAGGGTTCCCTGAAACTGAAAGGCGTCGCAGAGCTCGGCGTGACCAAGCGAAAGAAGGACAAAGACAAGGCGAAACTTCTGGAAGCGATGGGAACAAACAAAAAGAACAAGGAGGAGAAGCTGTGCGGCCTGGACAAGAGGGCCCCGGCCCAGGTGGCCTTCGAGAAGATGCAGGAGAAGCGGCAAATGGAAAGGATCCTGAAGAAAGCATCCAAAACCCACAAGCAGAGAGTGGAGGACTTCACCAGACACCTGGACACATTCACGGAACATTACGACATCTCCAAAGTCAGCTGGACCAAGTAGCCTCCCACCCTATGGACATGTCATGGCCTCGAGGGGAAGTGAAACACAAACTTGGGTTTATATCCAGTGCCTTGGGCATCTTTCAGAAACATTCTTTTATCCATGCCTGTGCGTTTTCGGTTGTGTCAGTGCTTTTTGACACTGTCTCTCCATTCTGGGACTTGATTAAAGTAAGCTGGCTGTCCTTTCACCCAATTGTGGTTTCTCAGTAGCCCAGAGAAGATAAATATTTTCAGTGTGAATTGGAAAGCTGTGGAAGTTTATACAGCATGAAAGTTGTTCTGGTGTAAGTGCCACATACAAATGTCTAGTTCTCTGAGTTGCATTTAAGCCTCAGAGGACAACCAGCCAGCTCTCTTCACCCAGATAAAACTGACTCCCGAGGGTGAGGAGCTAACACTGCAGGTGTGGCCTCTGCCTTCAGATGTGAGCTCTACCCTTCTGAGCTCCCACTGTTGTTGTTGTTAGGTGCCATCGAGTGGGTACCGACTCATAGCGACCTTATGCACAGCAGAACGAAACACTGCCCGATCCTGGGCCAACCTCACTACTGTTGCCACGCTTGAGTCCATCGATGCTGCCACCTGGCTAATCCATCTCGCTGGGGGTCTTCCTCTTTTTCTCTGACCCTCCACCTTATCAAACATGATATCCTTCTCCAGTGACTGGTCTCTCCTGACAATATGTCCGAAGTATGAGAGACGAAGTTTGGCCATCTTGGCCTCTAAGGAGCACTCTGGCTGCACTTCTTCCAAAACGGATCTATTGGTTCTTTTGGCAGCTCATGGCACTTTCAATATTCTACTCCAACACCATAACTCAAAAGCATCAATTCTTCTATGGTCCTCCTTATTCACTGTCGAGCTTTCACATGCATATGAGGTTATTGAAAATACCATGGCTTGGGTCAGGCATACCTTAGTCCTCAAGCTGACATCTTTGCTCTTCAACACTTTAAAAAATTCTTGTTCAGCAGATTTGCCTAATGCAATACGTTGTTTGATTTCTTGACTGCTGCTTCCAGGAGTGTTGATAGTTGATCCAAGAAGAATGAAGTCCTTGACAACTTCAATCTTTTCTCCACTGATAATAATGTTGTTTATTGGTCTAGTGGTGTGGATTTTTGTTTTCTTTACATTGAGATGTAATCCATACCTAAGGCTGTGCTCTTTGATTGTCATCAGTAAATGTTTTAAGTCCTCTTCACTTTCAGCAAGCAAGGTTGTATCATCTGCATATATTAGTTGGGACTTAAGTTGCCCTATCCAGGATCTGGAGAAGTTACCATAACTTCTTTGCTGGTTTGCAGAGAACTGCCATGGGTGTCAAGCATAGGCATCCCTCCTGGTCCTTTTCTGAGCCCATAACTGGCCTGCAGCCCCTTCCCCAGTTTCCCCATTCCAGACATTTTTAATGGATTGGTCACCATGACCCCTGTAGTAGCTATGGCTAACCGATCACAGCCTTCTTTGTAATGAAAACCAGACTTGTCTCTCAACCACGACTCCAAACTGTCCTTGTAGTGAGTGAGTCAGAGTTGGCACATAACCTAGAACCTGTATGGGTGACAGGCCCAGGGCTGAACCCCAGCAGACAGGCATGTGTATGGTCAAATGTAGCACCCCACTACTGGTGCTGGAGAGCCAGGGTCTCGGGGCCTGTGCACTTGGGGAAAGTCTCTGCTGACACGACTTCCAAAAGTGTACCAAAGCCAGAAGACAAAAAAACAAATAAATACTGGCCTTGAAGCTGTTACATGTGAACTGTGGAATATAGAAAACAACTACCAATTATTAAATATGTCTGTGTGTCTTAATTAAAAGCTGTTTGATTTCTATTGAGAAAAAAAATCTGTATAAACTTTATTTATATTTGCTAGTAGTTAACTTTTCCATTTTTTAAAATCTTTTTCTCAAATGCTGAATCATATGAAAATAAATTGAAGCTCTGATACTTCTCACCTAAATATTTCATGTTCCATGAAATGAGTACCTGCTACATAACACACCTAAGAATTGTCATTTTAATTCAGTACAGTAAGCTAACCTCTAGTCCATATACAGATTCTCAAAATGTTTTTTATGCTTTGTGAATATTTATTCAATTTTGTTTCCATGTTACATTTGAAAGCTTGTCAGTTTAGTCTCTTTTAATTTAGAACAATATTTCTAATTTCATTGCTGTTATTTTTCATAGACACTGTTTTTTCTGATTAGTTCAGGCCTACTGTCTTAGGAGTTCTGGTAGCCTAGTGGTTACGAATTGGGTTGCTAACCTCAAGGTAGGCAGTTCTGAGAGAGAAAGATGAGGTTTTCTGCTCCCATAAAGATTTGCAGCCTCGGAAACTCTGTACAGGGTCACTATGCGTCGGAACCTACTCCACAGTATTTAACAACAATGACAACTATCTTTAAGGCTATCTCACATTCTGGATTTTTCTACTGCTTTCTTTATAGTTAGGTAAGATGTAGGTGAAACCTTAATTTTGGTAAGAATAGTGCTGAGAGGATACTGCTATTCACTGCCTTCCATCAGGAGGTGTCTTCGTTATTGAGTGCCACTATAACCCAAATACCACAAATGCATGGCTTTAACAAACCTTCACTTATTCCTTTGTAATTTAGGAAGCTAGAAATTGTGCCTTAGAAGGCCACTTGCAAGCTTTTAAGACCTTGGGCATCATGCAATGAACCAGGACATAGAATAGGAACACTAAACACATTATGAGGTCAATTAACAGGAATGTCCCAGGAAACCATGACCCTAAACCACAAAACCAATACCCTTTATTGCTGTTATGTAGTTGAAGTCTATTCTGACTCATGTAACAGAGTAGAAGTACTCTTAGATTTCTAAGTTGTAATTGTTACAGAAGCAGTTGTTTTCTTGGAAACTCTGATTGGGTTTGAACTGCCAACATTTTGGTTAGCAGCCAAATACCTAACCATTTGCTCCACCATTGCTCCTCTAATTAATTTAAATATTATTTTCTTTACAAAAGTTTCTCTCTCACTTTCTTACAGTGTTCTGTGTGTAGATACAGGGATTGAGACATAGGCTGGATGGGTAAGGGAGCAAGAGTGTGATGTGTAAGTATTTGCATATGCCACAAATATATAACAGCTTGAAAGAGGATATGTGTATATGTGTATTTACCTTCAATACAAATACAGTATGAATGTGGTGGAACACTGTTGTTATTGTTGCTAAGTGTTATTAAGTTGGTTCCAACCCATAGCGACCCTGTATACAGTGTCCAAGGAGCAGCTGGTGAGTTTGAACTATGCCCTTGTGATTCAAACCAATCTTGCAGTCCAGCACATTAACTCATAGAGCCTCACCAGGACTCCTATGGTGGAGTATACAGCAAGCAAAATGATGAAAATTTCCTAGATATTATCAAACAACTTAAGGCAATGTGTTGATGGTTCTGGGGGCTCATGATCACAGTCTCAAGGGACGCCATGGACAATTGGCATAACATAATCCACAAAGACAATGATCTACATCCTGCTTGGTTGAGTAGCATCTGGGATCTTGAAAATTCATGAGCAGCCTAGGTCTAAGGTACAGTTGCTGGTCTCTCTATGTGCAGAAGAAAGACAAATGATAGTAACTGAAGAGACTTAGAATCAATGAGTTCAATGGGCTAATAGAACATGTGGATATTAGTCTCCATGACTCTGAGACCAGAAGAACTAGATGGTGACCAGCTATCACGATCAACTGCCCTGAAAGGGATCACAGAGAATTCTGGATAGAGTGGGAGAAAATATGGAACAAATTTCAAAATTATTTAATTTGAAAAAAACAACAAAATCTGGGTTTACTGGTTAGAAAGAGACTGGAGGAACCTGAGATTATGGCTCTTGGCCACCCTTCAAGTCTGGAAAGGAACTCATCCTCGTGGTGCAATTTTCAGCCAAGCAGTACATAGGTTTATAGGGAGGACAACAACACTAGCAAGGTATTCTCACTATGAAATGGTCAATCATTCAAAATCAAAAGTGCAAAATATGTCTAAGGACAAAATTAAGAAAGGATAGGGTGGAATCCAAATAGGAAACACAGGGTGGAAGAAGGATAACGCTTGTTGCAGGGAGCGGATTGTAATTATTGAAATGAAACAAAGTGTATGATTTGTTGAGTATAAGGCTGATGATCTTGTCTGTAAACCTTCACTCAATTCACAATTTAAAAAAAAAAAAAAAAGAAGAAGAGCTATGGTGGTATATGAAGTCCACAGCATCCATGATGTCCCAGTGAGACTCTCTACCCTCTAGTGTAGTGGCAGGAGGTGATTCTTGGGACACAGCATCTGATGGTGCTGTCACAAATCTAGATACAGAGACAGATGAGAGAGAAGAGGAAGAAGGACTGAATGGTCTGAAGTTTAACAATTTCTGTGGACTCATGAGCCTAAGAACACCGAGGGCTGAGAAAGGGTGAAGAGGTCAGATGGTCTAAAATGCAGGGAGGTATGTGTGAACTACCAAACTTGCAGCTGGTATCCATTTGATCTAGTTTGGACAGCTAGGGTAGAGTTGACCAGAACCTGACCAGGTGAAGAGAAAGAGGTTTGATACTGTGAGAAGATGTAAAGGACTACAATTTTATGGTCTGGACTTAGCTTATGGATGTAGCTGCTCAAAGTTCCAATCAGAATGGAAAATTCTTCAGATCAAGAAACATGCTTGTGTCCTCAGTACTGGGGTGATAGGGATGGGAGCTTTAGAAATTGGCTATTGAGAATGGTGGGGATATAATGGCATGAAGTGGCTGACTTATAAACTTTCCTGGGTGAACTTAGTCTCAGAATGATTGGGGAAGGGAGAATCCCCACTGAGTAGTTTCCTTTATTCCAGATGTGTCTGGGGAAGAGAGTGTGGGGGAAGATACTGGTAAGCTTTTATGACTCAATTGTGAGTAATTGTTAACAGGGTCAGTTGTGATTATAAAAACTGTATTTGTAAAAGATGTAACAGAAAGGGGTGGGGGAG